AGGGGAGGGGCTCACTTGTACCAGGGGAGGGGTGTCCTTTGTACCTGGGGAGGGGGTCCCTTGTACCAATGGAGGGGGTCCCTTGTAACAGGGGAGGGGGTCCCTTGTACCTGGGGAGAGGGTCCCTTATATTGTACCAGGGGAAGGGGTCCCTTGTACCAGGGGAGGGGTGTCCCTTGTACCAAGGGAAGGGGGTTACTTGTACCAGGGGAGGGGGTCCCTGTACCAAGGGAAGGGGGTTACTTGTACCAATGGAGGGGGGGTCCCTTGTAACAGGGGAGGGGGTCCCTTGTACCTGGGGAGGGGGTCCCTTATATAGTACCAGGGGAAGGGGTCCCTTGTACCAGGGGAGGGGTGTCCCTTGTACCAAGGGAAGGGGGTTACTTGTACCAATGGAGGAGGTCCCTTGTAACAGGGGAGGGGGTCCCTTGTACTTGGGGAGGGGGTCCCTTATATTGTACCAGGGGAAGGGGTCCCTTGTACCAGGGGAGTTGGTCACTTGTACCAAGGGAAGGGGGTTACTTGTACCAGGGGAGGGGGTCACTTGTATCAGGGGAGAAGGTCCCTTGTACCAGGGGAGGGGGTCCCTTGTACCAGGGAAGGGTCCCTAGTACCAGGGGAGGGGTGTCCTTTGTACCAGGGGAGGGGGTCACTTGTACCAGGGGAGGGGGTCCCTTGTACTAGGGGAGTGGTGTCCCTTGTACCAGGGGAGGGGATCCCTTATATTGTACCCGGGGAAGGGGTCCTTTGTACCAGGGGGGTGTCCCTTGTACCAGGGTAGGGGGTCACTTGTAGCAGGGGGGGTGTCCCTTGTACCAGGGTAGGGGGTCACTTGTACCAGGGGGGTGTCCCTTGTACCAGGGTAGGGGGTCACTTGTACCAGGGGAGGGGTGTCCCTTGTACCAGGGGAGGGGTTCACTTGTACCCTGGGAGGGGTGTCCCTTGTACCAGGGAAGGGGGTCACTTGTTCCAGGGGAATTGGTCACTTGTACCAGTGGAGGGGGTCACTTGTACCAGGGGAAGGGGTCCCTTGTACCAGGGGAGGGGTGTCCTTTGTACCAGGGGAGGGGGTTCCTTGTACCTGGGGAGGGGGTCCCTTATATTGTATCAGGGGAAGGGGTCCCTTGTACCAGGGGAGGGGGTCCCTTGTACCAGGGGAAGGGGTCCCTAATACCAGGGGAAGGGTGTCCTTTGTACCAGGGGAGGGGGTCACTTGTACCAGGGGATGGGGTCCCTTGTACCAGGGGAAGGGGTCCTTGTACCAGGGGAGGGGTGTCCTTTGTACCAGGGGAGGGGGTCACCTGTACCAGGGGAAGGGGTCCCTTGTACCAGGGGAGGAGTGTCCTTTGTACCAGGGGAGGGGGGTCACTTGTACCAGGGGAGGGGGTGACTTGGACAAGGGGAGGGTGTTCCTTGTACCAGGGGAGGGGGTCCCTTGTACCAGGGGAGTGGGTCCCTTATATTGTACCAGGGGAGGGGTGTCCCTTGTACCAGGGGATTGGGTCACTTCTACCAGGGGAGGGGCTCACTTGTACCAGGGGAAGGGGTCCCTTGTACCAGGGGAGAGGTTCACTTGTTCCAGGGGAGAGGGTCCCTTGTACCAGGGGAGGGGCTCAATTGTACCAGGGGAGGGGGTTAGTTGTACCAGGGAAGGGGCTTACTTGTACCAGGGGGGGGTCCCTTGTACCAGGGGAGGGGCTCACTTGTACCAGGGAAGGGGGTCAGTTGTACCAGGGAAAGGTCTCACTTGTACCAGGGGAGGGGCTCACTTGCACCAGGGGAGGGGGTCCCTTGTACCAGGGGAGGGGCTCACTTGTACCAGGAGAGGGGATCACTTGTACCAGGGGGAGGGGTGTCCTTTGTACCAGGGGAGGGGGTCACTTGTACCAGGGGAGGGGGTCACTTGGTCAAGGGGGAGGGGGTTCCTTGTACCAGGTGAGGGGTGTCCCTAGTACCAGGGGAGGGGGTCACTTGTACCAGGGGAGGGGATCCCTTATATTGTACCTGCGGAAGGGGTCCCTTGTACCAGAGGAGAGGTGTCCCTTTTATCAAGGGAGCGGGTCACTTGTACCAAGGGAGGGGTGTCCCTTGTACCAGGGGAGGGGGGTCACTTGTACCAGGGAAGGTCACTTGTACCAGGGGAGGGGGTCCCTTGTACCCGGGGACGGGGGTCCCTTGTACCAGGGGAAGGGGTCCCTTGTACCAAGGGAGGGGTGTCCTTTGTACCAGGGGAGGGGGTCCCTTGTAGCTGGGGAGGGGGTCCCTTATAATGTACCAGGGGAAGGGGTCCCTTGTACCAGGGAAGGGGGTCACTTGTACCAGGGGAAGGGAGTCACTTGTACCAGGGGAGGGGGTCACTTGTATCAGGAGAGAAGGTCCCTTGTACCAGGGGAGGGGGTCCCTTGTGCCAGGGGAGGGGGGTCCCTTGTACCAGGGGAGGAGTGTCATTTGTACCAGGGGAGGGGGGTCTCTTGTACCAGGGGAGGGGGTCCCTTATATTGTACCAGGGGAAGTGGTCCCTTGTACCAGGGGAGGGTGTCCCTTGTACCAGGGGAGGGGTCACTTGTTCCAGAGGAAGGGGTCACTCTACCCGTAGAGGGGGTCACTTGTACCAGGGGAGGGGGTCCCTTGTACCAGGGGAGGGGGTCACTTGTACCAGGGGAGGAGTTCACTTGTACCAGGGGAGGGGGTCCTTTGTACCAGGGGAGGGGTGTCCCTTGTACCAGAGAGGGGGTCACTTGTACCAGGGGAGGGGTGTGGGACTGAGGGACGCAGGACTGAGGGACGCAGGACTGAAGGACGCAGGACTGAGGGACGCAGGATTGAGAGACGCAGGACTGAAGGACGCAGGACTGAGGGACGCAGGACTGAGGGATTCAGGACTGAGGGACGCAGGTCTGAGGGACGAAGGACGGAGGGACGCAGGACTGAGGGACGCAGGTCTGAGGGACGCAGGACTGAGGGACGCCGGACTGAAGGACGCAGGACTGAGGGACGTAGGACTGAGGGACGCAGGACTGAGGGACGCAGGACTGAGAGACGCAGGAATGTGGGACGCAGGACTGAGGGACGCAGGACTGAGGGACGCAGGACAGACGGACGCAGGACTGTGGGACGCAGGACTGAGGGACGCAGGACTGAGGGACGCAGGACAGATGGACGCAGGACTGAGGGACGTAGGACTGAGAGACGCAGGACTGAGGGACACAGGACTGAGGGACGCAGGACTGAGGGACGCAGGACTGAGGGACGCAGGACTGAGAGACGCAGGACTGAGGGACGCTGGACTGAGGGATGCAGGACTGAGGGACGCAGGACTGAGGGACGCAGGACTGAGGGACGCAGGTTTCAGGGACGCAGGACTGAGGGACGCAGGGCTGAGGGACGCAGGACTGAGGGACGCAGGACTGAGGGACGCAGGACTGAGGGACGCAGGACTGATGGACGCAGGACTGAGGGACACAGGACTGAGGGACGCGCAGGACTGAGGGACGCAGGACTGAGGAACGCAGGATTGAGGGACGCAGGACTGAGGGACGCAGGACTGAGAGACGCAGGAATGTGGGACGCAGGACTGAGGGACGCAGGACTGAGGGACGCAGGACAGAAGGACGCAGGACTGTGGGACGCAGGACTGAGGGACGCAGGACTGAGGGACGCAGGACAGAAGGACGCAGGACTGAGGGACGTAGGACTGAGAGACGCAGGACTGAGGGACACAGGACTGAGGGACGCAGGACTGAGGGACGCAGGACTGAGGGACGCAGGACTGAGAGACGCAGGACTGAGGGACGCTGGACTGAGGGAAGCAGGACTGAGGGACGCAGGACTGAGGGACGCAGGACTGAGGGACGCAGGATTCAGGGACGCAGGACTGAGGGACGCAGGGCTGAGGGACGCAGGACTGAGGGACGCAGGACTGAGGGACGCAGGACTGAGGGACGCAGGACTGATGGACGCAGGACTGAGGGACACAGGACTGAGGGACGCGCAGGACTGAGGGACCAGGACTGAGGAACGCAGGATTGAGGGACGCAGGACTGAGGGACGCAGGACTGAGGGACGCAAAACTGAAGGACGCAGGACAGACGGACGCAGGACTGAGGGACTCAGAACGCAGGACTGATGGACGCAGGACTGAGGGACGCAGGACTGAGCAACGCAGGAGTGAGGGACGCAGGACTAAGGGACGCTGGACTGAGGGACGCAGGACTGAGGGACGCAGGACTGAGCGACGCAGGAGAGAGGGACGCAGGACTGAGGGATGCAGGACTGAAGGACGCAGGACTGAGGGACGCAGGACTGAGCGACGCAGGAGTGAGGGACGCAGGACTGAGGGACGCAGGACTGAGGGACGCTGGACTGAGCTACGCAGGAGTGAAAGACGCAGGACTGAGGGACGCAGGACTGAGGGACGCAGGAGTGAGGGACGAAGGACTGAGGGACCCAGGATTGAGGGACGCAGGACTGAGGGACGCAGGACTGAGGGATGCAGGACTGAGGGACGCAGGACTGAGGGACGCAGGACTGAGGACGCAGGACTGAGGGACGCAGGACTGAGGGACGCATGACTGAGGGACGCAGGACTGAGGGACGCAGGACTGATTGACGCAGCGCTGAGGGACGCAGGACTGAGGTACGAAGGACTGAGGGACGCAGGACTGAGGGACGCAGGACTGAGGGACGCAGGACTGAGGGACGCCGCGCTGAGGGACGCAGGACTGAGGGACGCAGGACTGAGGGACGCAGGACTGAGGGACGCAGGACTGATGGACGCAGGACTGAGGGACACAGGACTGAGGGACGCGCAGGACTGAGGGACGCAGGACTGAGGAACGCAGGATTGAGGGACGCAGGACTGAGGGACGCAGGACTGAGGGACGCAAAACTGAAGGACGCAGGACAGACGGACGCAGGACTGAGGGACTCAGGACGCAGGACTGATGGACGCAGGACTGAGGGACGCAGGACTGAGCAACGCAGGAGTGAGGGACGCAGGACTAAGGGACGCTGGACTGAGGGACGCAGGACTGAGGGACGCAGGACTGAGCGACGCAGGAGAGAGGGACGCAGGACTGAGGGATGCAGGACTGAGGGACGCAGGACTGAGGGACGCAGGACTGAGCGACGCAGGAGTGAGGGACGCAGGACTGAGGGACGCAGGACTGAGGGACGCTGGACTGAGCTACGCAGGAGTGAAAGACGCAGGACTGAGGGACGCAGGACTGAGGGACGCAGGAGTGAGGGACGAAGGACTGAGGGACCCAGGATTGAGGGACGCAGGACTGAGGGACGCAGGACTGAGGGATGCAGGACTGAGGGACGCAGGACTGAGGGACGCAGGACTGAGGGACGCAGGACTGAGGGACGCATGACTGAGGGACGCAGGACTGAGGGACGCAGGACTGATTGACGCAGCGCTGAGGGACGCAGGACTGAGGTACGAAGGACTGAGGGACGCAGGACTGAGGGACGCAGGACTGAGGGACGCAGCGCTGAGGGATGCAGGACTGAGGTACGAAGGACTGAGGGATGCAGGACTGAGGGACGCAGGACTGAGGGACGCAGGACTGAGGGACGCCGCGCTGAGGGACGCAGGACTGAGGGACGCAGGACTGAGGGACGCAGGACTGAGGGATGCAGGACTGAGGGACGCAGGACTGAGGGACGCAGGACTGAGGGACGCAGGACTGAGGGACGCTGGACTGAGGGACGCAGGACTGAGGGACGCAGGACTGATTGACGCAGCGCTGAGGGATGCAGGACTGAGGTACGAAGGACTGAGGGACGCAGGACTGAGGGACGCAGGACTGAGGGACGCAGGACTGAGGGACGCCGCGCTGAGGGACGCAGGACTGAGGGACGCAGGACTGAGGGACGCAGGACTGAGGGATGCAGGACTGAGGGACGCAGGACTGAGGGACGCAGGACTGAGGGACGCAGGACTGAGGGACGCAGGACTGAGGGACGCAGGACTGAGGGACGCAGGACTGAGGGACGCAGGACTGAGAGACGCAGGACTGAGGGACGCAGGACTGAGGGACGCAGGACGCAGACTTTCAGATCTAATAACATAGATTTTATACAGTGTATTTTTTCTAATTAATTTTACAAAACAAACTTGGAACGTTTTCAACAATTTTTTCTTGAACATTTCCCATGTAACTTGTGGCTTGTGGTCGTGTCTGTCTGTGTGTTATTGTGGTGGCTTGTGGTCGTGTCTGTCTGTTATTGTGGTGGCTTGTGGTCGTGTCTGTCTGTTACTGTGGTGGCTTGTGGTCGTGTCTGTCTGTTACTGTGGTGGCTTGTGGTCGTGTCTGTCTGTGTGTTATTGTGGTGGCTTGTGGTCGTGTCTGTCTGTTATTGTGGTGGCTTGTGGTCGTGTCTGTCTGTTATTGTGGTGGCTTGTGGTCGTGTCTGTCTGTTACTGTGGTGGCTTGTGGTCGTGTCTGTCTGTTATGGTGGTGGCTTGTGGTCGTGTCTGTCTGTTACTGTGGTGGCTTGTGGTCGTGTCTGTCTGTTACTGTGGTGGCTTGTGGTCGTGTCTGTCTGTTACTGTGGTGGCTTGTGGTCGTGTCTGTCTGTTATTGTGGTGGCTTGTGGTCGTGTCTGTCTGTTATTGTGGTGGCTTGTGGACGTGTCTGTCTGTTATTGTGGTGGCTTGTGGTCGTGTCTGTCTGTGTGTTATTGTGGTGGCTTGTGGTCGTGTCTGTCTGTGTTTTATTGTGGTGGCTTGTGGTCGTGTCTGTCTGTGTGTTATTGTGGTGGCTTGTGGTCGTGTCTGTCTGTGTGTTATTGTGGTGGCTTGTGGTCGTGTCTGTCTGTGTGTTATTGTGGTGGCTTGTGGTCGTGTCTGTCTGTTACTGTGGTGGCTTGTGGTCGTGTCTGTCTGTGTGTTATTGTGGTGGCTTGTGGTCGTGTCTGTCTGTTATTGTGGTGGCTTGTGGTCGTGTCTGTCTGTTACTGTGGTGGCTTGTGGTCGTGTCTGTCTGTTATTGTGGTGGCTTGTGGTCGTGTCTGTCTGTTACTGTGGTGGCTTGTGGTCGTGTCTGTCTGTTATTGTGGTGGCTTGTGGTCGTGTCTGTCTGTTACTGTGGTGGCTTGTGGTCGTGTCTGTCTGTTATTGTGGTGGCTTGTGGTCGTGTCTGTCTGTCTGTGTGGTGGCTTGTGGTCGTGTCTGTCTGTTATTGTGGTGGCTTGTGGTCGTGTCTGTCTGTCTGTGTGGTGGCTTGTGGTCGTGTCTGTGTGTTACTGTGGTGGCTTGTGGTCGTGTCTGTCTGTCTGTGTGGTGGCTTGTGGTCGTGTCTGTGTGTTACTGTGGTGGCTTGTGGTCGTGTCTGTCTGTTATTGTGGTGGCTTGTGGTCGTGTCTGTCTGTTACTGTGGTGGCTTCTGGTCGTGTCTGTCTGTTATTGTGGTGGCTTGTGGTCGTGTCTGTCTGTCTGTTACTGTGGTGGCTTGTGGTCGTGTCTGTCTGTTATTGTGGTGGCTTGTGGTCGTGTCTGTCTGTTACTGTGGTGGCTTGTGGTCGTGTCTGTCTGTCTGTTACTGTGGTGGCTTGTGGTCGTGTCTGTCTGTCTGTGTGGTGGCTTGTGGTCGTGTCTGTCTGTTATTGTGGTGGCTTGTGGTCGTGTCTGTCTGTTACTGTGGTGGCTTGTGGTCGTGTCTGTCTGTTATTGTGGTGGCTTGTGGTCGTGTCTGTCTGTTACTGTGGTGGCTTGTGGTCGTGTCTGTCTGTTATTACTGTGTGGCTTGTGGTCGTGTCTGTCTGTTATTTGTGGTGGCTTGTGGTCGTGTCTGTCTGTTATTGTGGTGGCTTGTGGTCGTGTCTGTCTGTTATTGTGGTGGCTTGTGGTCGTGTCTGTCTGTTACTGTGGTGGCTTGTGGTCGTGTCTGTCTGTTATTGTGGTGGCTTGTGGTCGTGTCTGTCTGTTATTGTGGTGGCTTGTGGTCGTGTCTGTCTGTCTGTTACTGTGGTGGCTTGTGGTCGTGTCTGTCTGTTATTGTGGTGGCTTGTGGTCGTGTCTGTCTGTTACTGTGGTGGCTTGTGGTCGTGTCTGTCTGTTATTGTGGTGGCTTGTGGTCGTGTCTGTCTGTCTGTGTGGTGGCTTGTGGTCGTGTCTACTGTGGTGGCTTGTGGTCGTGTCTGTCTGTCGGTGTGGTGGCTTGTGGTCGTGTCTGTGTGTTACTGTGGTGGCTTGTGGTCGTGTCTGTCTGTTACTGTGGTGGCTTGTGGTCGTGTCTGTCTGTTACTGTGGTGGCTTGTGGTCGTGTCTGTCTGTTACTGTGGTGGCTTGTGGTCGGCTTGTGGTCGTGTCTGTCTGTCTGTTACTGTGTGGCTTGTGGTCGTGTGGTCTGTTTGTGGTGGCTTGTGGTCGTGTCTGTCTGTTACTGTGGTGGCTTGTGGTCGTGTCTGTCTGTTACTGTGGTGGCTTGTGGTCGTGTCTGTCTGTTACTGTGGTGGCTTGTGGGTGTCTGTGTCTGTCTGTGGTGTTGTCTGTGTGTGGCTTGTGGTCGTGTCTGTCTGTTACTGTGGTGGCTGTGGTGGCTTGTGGTCGTGTCTGTCTGTTACTGTGGTGGCTTGTGGTCGTGTCTGTCTGTTACTGTGGTGGCTTGTGGTCGTGTCTGTCTGTTACTGTGGTGGCTTGTGGTCGTGTCTGTCTGTTATTGTGGTGGCGTGTCTATACTATTGTGTCTGTCGTGTGTTATTGTGGTGGCTTGTGGTCGTGTCTGTCTGTTACTGTGGTGGCTTGTGGTCGTGTCTGTCTGTTATTGTGGTGGCTTGTGGTCGTGTCTGTCTGTTACTGTGGTGGCTTGTGGTCGTGTCTGTCTGTTACTGTGGTGGCTTGTGGTCGTGTCTGTCTGTTACTGTGGTGGCTTGTGGTCGTGTCTGTCTGTTATTGTGGTGGCTTGTGGTCGTGTCTGTCTGTTACTGTGGTGGCTTGTGGTCGTGTCTGTCTGTTACTGTGGTGGCTTGTGGTCGTGTCTGTCTGTTACTGTGGTGGCTTGTGGTCGTGTCTGTCTGTTATTGTGGTGGCTTGTGGTCGTGTCTGTCTGTTACTGTGGTGGCTTGTGGTGGCTTGTGGTCGTGTCTGTCTGTTACTGTGGTGGCTTGTGGTCGTGTCTGTCTGTTATTGTGGTGGCTTGTGGTCGTGTCTGTCTGTTATTGTGGTGGCTTGTGGTCGTGTCTGTCTGTTATTGTGGTGGCTTGTGGTCGTGTCTGTCTGTTACTGTGGTGGCTTGTGGTCGTGTCTGTCTGTTATTGTGGTGGCTTGTGGTCGTGTCTGTCTGTTACTGTGGTGGCTTGTGGTCGTGTCTGTCTGTTATTGTGTGGGTGGCTTGTGGTCGTGTCTGTCTGTTATTGTGGTGGCTTGTGGTCGTGTCTGTCTGTTATTGTGGTGGCTTGTGGTCGTGTCTGTCTGTTATTGTGGTGGCTTGTGGTCGTGTCTGTCTGTTATTGTGGTGGCTTGTGGTCGTGTCTGTCTGTTACTGTGTTACTTGTGGTGGCTTGTGGTCGTGTCTGTCTGTTATTGTGGTGGCTTGTGGTCGTGTCTGTCTGTTACTGTGGTGGCTTGTGGTCGTGTCTGTCTGTGTGGTGGCTTGTGGGTGTCTGTCTGTTTGTGGTCTTGTGGTCGTGTCTGTCTGTTATTGTGGTGGCTTGTGGTCGTGTCTGTCTGTTGTTGTGGTGGCTTGTGGTCGTGTCTGTCTGTTATTGTGGTGGCTTGTGGTCGTGTCTGTCTGTTATTGTGGTGGCTTGTGGTCGTGTCTGTCTGTTACTGTGGTGGCTTGTGGTCGTGTCTGTCTGTTATTGTGGTGGCTTGTGGTCGTGTCTGTCTGTTATTGTGGTGGCTTGTGGTCGTGTCTGTCTGTTGTTTGTGGTGGCTTGTGGTCGTGTCTGTCTGTTATTGTGGTGGCTTGTGGTCGTGTCTGTCTGTTATTGTGGTGGCTTGTGGTCGTGTCTGTCTGTTATTGTGGTGGCTTGTGGTCGTGTCTGTCTGTTACTGTGGTGGCTTGTGGTCGTGTCTGTCTGTTATTGTGGTGGCTTGTGGTCGTGTCTGTCGTTATTGTGTCTGTCTGTCTGTCTGTGGTGGCTTGTGGTCGTGTCTGTCTGTTATTGTGGTGGCTTGTGGTCGTGTCTGTCTGTTATTGTGGTGGCTTGTGGTCGTGTCTGTCTGTTATTGTGGTGGCTTGTGGTCGTGTCTGTCTGTTATTGTGGTGGCTTGTGGTCGTGTCTGTCTGTTATTGTGGTGGCTTGTGGTCGTGTCTGTCTGTCTATTGTGGTGGCTTGTGGTCGTGTCTGTCTGTTACTGTGGTGGCTTGTGGTCGTGTCTGTCTGTCTGTTATTGTGGTGGCTTGTGGTCGTGTCTGTCTGTCTTGTGGTCTTGTGGTCGTGTCTGTCTGTTATTGTGGTGGCTTGTGGTCGTGTCTGTCTGTTATTGTGGTGGCTTGTGGTCGTGTCTGTCTGTTATTGTGGTGGCTTGTGGTCGTGTCTGTCTGTTATTGTGGTGGCTTGTGGTCGTGTCTGTCTGTTACTGTGGTGGCTTGTGGTCGTGTCTGTCTGTTACTGTGGTGGCTTGTGGTCGTGTCTGTCTGTTATTGTGGTGGCTTGTGGTCGTGTCTGTCTGTGTGGTGGCTTGTGGTCGTGTCTGTCTGTGTGGTGGCTTGTGTGGTGGTGGCTTGTGGTCGTGTCTGTCTGTTATTGTGGTGGCTTGTGGTCGTGTCTGTCTGTTACTGTGGTGGCTTGTGGTCGTGTCTGTCTGTTACTGTGGTGGCTTGTGGTCGTGTCTGTCTGTCTGTGTGGTGGCTTGTGGTCGTGTCTGTCTGTTATTGTGGTGGCTTGTGGTCGTGTCTGTCTGTTATTGTGGTGGCTTGTGGTCGTGTCTGTCTGTTATTGTGGTGGCTTGTGGTCGTGTCTGTCTGTTACTGTGGTGGCTTGTGGTCGTGTCTGTCTGTCTGTGTGGTGGCTTGTGGTCGTGTCTGTCTGTTACTGTGGTGGCTTGTGGTCGTGTCTGTGTGTTACTGTGGTGGCTTGTGGT